ATCTTCACAAGACAACAAGTGAAATAACACCGACATAAACCTGTCATCTGTTTAGAGCCATATGTTACAGTGAATGAGTTATTGCTCTGATGGCTCAAAACATACTATATCTTGAAGTCTCTTTGGTTGTTAACTTGTGCCCAAAATATAGCAATCTAGTTAATGGAGTAGTATTTTGTTTTCGAATATGACACAAAATGATTGTCTGTAACCTGAAAATCAAAAGTAGTAACGATTGGAAGTGGTCAATAACAGCCAGTAAAACTTAGATTTGACACAACTATCCTGAACCATATCCAGCAAATTTCTTCTATGCAGTTCCCTTTTCCAAATGAATTCACTACAGTTAACAATTCCAGACTGGTAGTATCACCAAACGATGATCGTTATTATCACCGTCATGAGCTGACTCTATCACCGCTGTCCCTCATCTCCTCACAAAACATTCCAAAACATTTTGAAGCTCCCATGTTCTCCCATCACTACAAATATGATACACCGGTAATCCCATTCAATCCATTATCATTGCCTCTTTCCAGGTTCTTCCAGTTGATGTTCCTCTGTCCTCGTTGTCATTATCGTACTGTATCTCACCAAATGCTATCCTCACACTTTCTCTTTTTTGTTTGTTTGGTGAAGACAAGCAGGTCCTGACAAACAGTTATCTTATCTCTGGGCTTCATGTGACTGAGAGGACATTAGACTAAACAGATCACAGAGAGAGAGGCAAATCAGAGCAATTATTCAAAACACTCTTTATCTTCCCTCTGAGGGACAAGAAAGCTTTCCTCGTTCTTCTCCTCTTTCTACTTTTCCCCTATCATTCTTTTCCTCTCCCTTTCCATTCTGTTTCTATCTATTGTCACTGCAAATTTGACTTCCTTTATCCTAGTTCACCTTCTCTCTTTCACTTTCCCTCTCCCTCCCTCCTTCCATCACCCTCTGCCTCCCCCTCTCCAGTAGGTATACAAAGGATGATGGGTCCCTCCTTCTATCACCCTCTGCCTCCCCCTCTCCAGTAGGTATACAAAGGATGATGGGTCCCTCCTTCTATCACCCTCTGCCTCCCCCTCTCCAGTAGGTATACAAAGGATGATGGTCCCTCCTTCTATCACCCTCTGCCTCCCCCTCTCCAGTAGGTATACAAAGGATGATGGTCCCTCCTTCTATCACCCACTGCCTCCCCCTCTCCAGTAGGTATACAAAGGATGATGGGTCCCTCCTTCTATCACCCTCTGCCTCCCCCTCTCCAGTAGGTATACAAAGGATGATGGTCCCTCCTTCTATCACCCTCTGCCTCCCCCTCTCCAGTAGGTATACAAAGGATGATGGTCCCTCCTTCTATCACCCTCTGCCTCCCCCTCTCCAGTAGGTATACAAAGGATGATGGGTCCCTCCTTCTATCACCCTCTGCCTCCCCCTCTCCAGTAGGTATACAAAGGATGATGGGTCCCTCCTTCTACCACCCTCTCCCCCCTCCCTCCCCCCCCCCCCCCTCCCTCCCCCAGTAGATATACAAAGGGCAACCAAAATAGATCAGTCACACAGCTTCTTAGTGACAAAAATGCCCTTTGTTTCCAAGCCATCACTCTTGGTATGATTCCACACAATGACAGGTAACACTAACGGTATCATAGTTAATTATGCAGAAGACAATTCTACTCCATTCTTCTATTGTAATATCTGTCAGAAGTAAATACAAATTTAGGTGAGCTTGTAAGCCCATGTAACTCCCAATGAATTAATCAACAAGTAATAATATTTTGTAGAGATCTGCACTAGGTACTAGTATGGAAAAAATTCAATCATGATTCTGTTGATTGTCTATAAAGCACCAATCACTTAAGCCCCTAGCTGGGCCCTTGTTATATTGCAGAATTGTTAAAAACGCCAGTCTCACAATAATGACAAATACAACCTGCACAGCTATAAAGATACTCTATTATTGCAAACCCTATCCTATAAAACAAAAATGATGTTGGGAGATCCATTGATCAGATCAAAACAAAAACTTCACCACATGGGGAAGGACCTTTTTGCAAAGGATCCCAAAATGTGCACCAAAATCCACTTCATTTTGGAGATTACCACAAGTCCATTTCTTAGTAACTATAGCAAATACATTGCATATGGACATGTCATCACAAACGAGACAGAAAAACACCTTGCTTTTGTACAGTTCACAAATATATGTCTAGAAATAAACAAATATTTGAAAGGAAATAATCATAAATTATGTAAACTTTTGATAGATTAATAGTTCAAGAAATGTAAAGTTAATCATGTGATGACACAACTTGTTGCAAACAAAACACAAATGCTTATATGTTCATCAAGCTATTCGCACAACGTCATTTTACAAGTTTATAAACTTTCTACAAATCTATTCCTTGGTAACATTGCATATTGGTCATCACAAGCAATTGTGCAAACATTATGCTAAGTTTACAAATTGAAGAATAAACATTCTGGAAGCCTGTATACTTTCCATACCTCTATCATCTGGAGAGGGAGAGAGACAGAGAGAGAGAGAGAGACAGACAGACAGAGAGAGAGAGACAGAAGAGAGAGAAAGAGAGAGAGAGAGAGAGAGAGACTAGACCACATCACCACTTGCTTCCATATAATCGATGAATGTATCTCTAAAAAGTTAACAAATATCAGAACATTGAAGTCAGAAGGGTTCCTACTGATCAATCAAATAGACAAAAGAAAGTTGATCTCATGATGACTTAACCGTCTCCAATTACAAATACAACTACATTCACCAAACTAGTTGCACTAGGACATTTTTAGAAGTTTTGTAAAGCTGCCACAAATCCATTGTTTGCAAACTAAGGAACAAGTAATTTATTGCATGAAGATAGCAATAATCCAAAGAAATGATATCGCACTTACATATTCATCAGTAAAAAGCAGAACAAACATTCTTCAAAACTCGAAGTTTCAATGGATCCATTATCTGGAAAAATGACAGATGTCGTAAAAGCCAACAGGGGGACACAAATGTTTGTCAAAACAAACATGTTTACTAAGCCCCAAACGGAGCCCCTAGTGTAGACCATGCTAGATCACAAATACCACAGACGGAAGTAGCGACCAGCTCCATTTTCTCTCACTCTGCTGAGACAAAAATAATATTTCCCAAATTCTCTCTTCCCTCACCTCAATTTGAAGTATTTCCCGGACAAAACAGATAGGCATCCTCGACGCTGCATGTCATCTAATATTCACACATTGTCATGGCAACCAAACACTGTCCTCTGATGTGAAATGTAGTTTCCATACAAGTCCATGAGAAGAAATGTAAATTATTTCAAACATTATAGTGCTCGGTATTAGTTTCACTATATGCTTGACCTGTAATGAAATATCAACAACAACAAAAGAAATGTTATTTATGTTTCACCATACGCGATGCCCTTTTATCTGAACTCGAACACCTCTTTCATACACATCCTTACCAACTTAGCTAGGTATGCATGATTATTTAAGAATGCTGATGATGAACTCCTTTCTTTTGAACTAGAACTTATGAACTTTTGGAAGATCATATAATACTTTGATGAAAGCACTGTCAGGTCACTTCTATGCAAAGGCACAATATGTACCACCCTTTTAAAAATGACAACTGTACATTCTCCCCCCCCCCCCCAAAAAAAAAGACAAATGTAACATATGTTCTACAAAAACAACAACTGAAGTAGCTTCCATTCAGTGTCCAGTCCATTGAAGAGTCCACCAAAGTAGGTGTCCATGCTCAAAACTAAAACACTGTCTTTCCTCAGTGCACAGTTATACCCAAAATCAAATGCAAAATCTATAAAACAACTCATTGACTAGAATATTCCTATTCCCATAGGCTTAATGCAGAAGCCACATGGTTCCAGTAGGCAAAGGATTAAGTAAAGCTCATCTCTTACGAAGATTTAACACACCTACATTAAATGTTCAGAGATATCCAAGACCAAATCCTCCATAGCAATGATACGCTGCTGCCTTACAAGTTATCAGGCTGTTCAGTGATATCCTCTTCCAGTCGACACTAAGAAATTCAACTGAGCCTATGAACTCAAAAGAGGAAGTCAACTAATACAAAGGCAAAGACAATCTTACCATCAGGTACTAAAAAAAGAGACAGGGAGGGGAAAGAATAAATTAAGGAAAGGTTTTCTTATTTTGTGTCGTAACACTTCAGCCCGGAGAGGGGCTGGAGGGCTGGTTCTCAAGAGTTACGGCGGTCTGATTTATATTACATCTTGCCCACGAGATGCAGTTCTCCACACCATGTATTCATTACCACTCCAGGAGGAAAACAACCACAAAAATCTTACAAGAAATAGAGAGAAGATAAAAACGGAGGAAACAATACTTAAGCTTTCGATGAGGAATATTGTCGGGGGAGAAAAAGACAAAAGTCCTTTCCCCTCAAGACTAAAAAATGCCTTCATCACCGCATTAGTCAGCCATATTAGATTCTGATTAAAGGAAACACAGTCCACTAACAAAAGTTCCATTCCTTTGATTGGACGTCACGACCGTAAATTAAATATAGGTAGGGCCAACCCTAAAGCAATGTTTTCTTTCCGTAGGATGATAGGCGGTATTGAGGAGGTACACCACACGTACCCCTCTATATCACTACCGGTGTCTCTTTTGTCCTCAGGTACCCCAAGGCATTTCTCTTGGAAAGAGGATGCTTCATTCATGTTGATTAGCTTCAGGTTGGGAGGATGCTTTACGGTTTCATTCTCTATTTTGGTCTAAATCAAAGCAGATCTTTGCAGATTGGTACGCACTGTATGCGGGATGGCAAAACTCATGAAGTAATCCTTTCCTTGTATTTTCGAAGATTTCTGTCGATCAAATATGGGATTTCACAGTAGAGCAGGAAATAAAAGACAAATGAAAGAATGGTATACAATCTATTTCGTACTCTCTCTTGTTTTATGGATTCACATACGCATGAACATTTTTCAAAATGAACTTCCTTTAAAAATATGAGCACAATTTCCAAGGTGTCCAATTCCAGATGCCAAGCTCTCAGACAATATGAGGTCTACATACAGACTAGGTCATGCTCCAAAGAACATGCTCAATGAAAATGAAGCTTTCTCTTTTGTAAAACAAGAATGAGACCACTTAAATAGAGATGGCACAGTCACCAAGTCACAGACTATGTCTCCTCCTACAGATAACGCTTTCCAAATTGTTTCTTTAACTGTATAAAACAGCAATGGCATCGCTCAAGCTTCCACTATCCATGGTAGATATGAAGATAGTCAAATGAAGTCAACACAAAATGTTGAATATCCATCCTTCCTCAAATAGTGGAATAATTGTTTGTTTAAGAGCCAGAAGGGCATTAATGAAATGCCCTTTTGCCTCTTAAACAAACATTGATTCCACTATTTGAGGAATTGTAGAAGAAAGGGACCCAAAACCAACCTCAAACTGTAACTGAAGCAAACTCTCTCCAAAAAGGAAGATGACATTTTTACCAATCACTTGCATATTAAAATGTTATGAATTCATTTCTTACAAAACACTCCCACAACTGCACTTTCTTTAGTTTCCTTAGAACAGCATACTCAATACATTGCTAATTTAACCACTAAGCTTTAAGATCCTACCCTCTGCTCAGAGCCAGACAGGCTTTAGCTTTATCTTAGAATAGTTAGGAGTCAATACCCTTGTGCCTCTCAGCAGACGATACCTAAACGTACCCTAATCCTAGCAATTAGGAACCTTCTCAAGGTAGGCTTATCAACTTCTTCTTAAATCATGAATTATTCCATACTTCCCCTGCATCAATAATCTGCTTTGAATTTCAGCTTGAATCAGGCAGGAGGTGATATTAATAATTCTTTTCCTTCGTAATCCCTCTCTTTGGAGACACCATACACAAAGGAGACTGAGATTTACTTATGAGCTGTCACAACAGTTCAAAGTGGAGTAGCCTATATAATAAGAGGAAAAGGTATAAACCTAATAATAGTGAATGACTGGAAGGGCTTTCCTTTATATTTTAGTGATGGTCTATAATCATTTTGGCAGACCATATTGGCTCCAGGCAACCCAGGGCAGGTGCTGATTGTTCTCATTAAAATCAGAAAATAGTGCTTCGTTTGATCACCATGAAAATTCATCAATGTGACACATTCATGTTCTCTCTCTCTCTCTCTCTCTCTCTCTCCTCTCTCTCTCTCTCTCTCTCTCTCACCTAGATATTGAACAATAACTGGGGCAAGAAAGTGCAAAGGCTTTCAGAAATGGTTAAGAAATCTGTCTGGAACTAACTTTGTACCTCTCATAATGAGAGTGAGTGCGGTAAAAAGGAGAATATAAATTCTCCTAAGAGCCAATAAGCTGTTCACTCAATTTCATGGGCATTTAGATAATATATATTTCAAAACAATGTTTTGTGTCATATTCAATGTTTTTCTCTGTCGATCTCATGTGTCAATTCAATATAATTTGAGAAAACAATATTGATATCGTCCTTGTTTTCACGAAGTGACGGTAGTGAGGAAAATCGTAACGCAAAGTGAATGCATTTTTTTTTCACTACCGT